CAGACATTTCTATTACTGCTGCTGCTCTGATAGCAGCTCCCATCATCTCTCTCACATACTGACTTGAGCGTCGGAGGCTCTACGCCGGAAAAACCCTCCGGCGTTGAGTTCTTGCAGGTGTTCGTACGATTCAGCAACGGCTCGAAGGTCATCAGGCCAGATCTAAGCTCGTTCATACCGGTTCATCCCAGATCCGGACGTTTTCTCACCAAACCGTTCCAGATCTGAGAGCAGACCCATCAACACCCAACACACAATACAAGTTATCTATATTACAAATTATGCCCAAGGACTAATTGCAATTTAATCAATATTTACAAATTTGCAATCAAGTCCCTGGTGAATATCAAATTCTCAAAAAAAATCATCGCAGCCTCATCTCTGTCTTGTCCACACCCCGGTCATCTCCAACGATCCCTTTGCTCGCCGCTGACGCTCCCGTTTGCAGCGGCAAACACAAAATTCGATCGTCATCCCGCTCGATTTTCAAAGGAATCCGGTCGAACTCGCCGCCAATATTCAGAAATTGATTTCAGACTTGCATCGACGGGATGGAGGCAAACGGCGGACCGTAGATGTTGTCGACCTTTTTTTCGATCTCGGCCAGAAGCGGCCGTCATCAAGCTCGGCGGCAGAGGAGGCTCTGTTGGTGGAAGCGAGTGCTGCGGGTAACCATGGCTGTCGCGAGCGGCGGGCGATATGCGACTGTTGGCGGCGGCGGAGTGTGGCGGCGCAAGAGACGGGCGGCTGCCGGCGGCGAGCAGCTCCACATTCTGTGTATCCCCGTGAAGTGTGTGTGTGTGTGTGTGAGAGAGAGAGAGAGAGAGGTGACGGGTGGGGTAAATCTGGGGAAGGGGGAATGGATTAATTGGAGTGGGGAATGGTTTAATTGGGATGGAACCCACTAATTACAATTACACATTTAGCCTTGTAGTTATGTGTGTACAGGCTGATTTTGAGCGTCAGATTATTTCAATTTTGTGGTTAGGATGTATTCTCATTTCTTTCGTTGAACACTATTCTCACCGGAGCGCGACCCTATATATATATATATATATATATATATATAGGGTTGAGTTCACATGAGAATGATGTTTAGTGAAAGAAGTGAGAACAAATTATAGTCGTTAGATCGAATTATCTAATGACTAAAAAAACGTCAAAATTATACCTTCATTAAGGGCATTATGGTATTTTTCACACTACATTCAAATAAGTGGGTCCCAATCACCATTATTCATCATCTACCTGCCAATTACCCGATCACCTGCCAACCCCCCATTCTCTCTCTCTCTCATACAATTACACAGCTCCCCATGCTCTCTCTCTCTCATACAATTTTACAGTTCCATTTGCTCTCTCTCACAGAATTAACACACACACACACACGTATTCTACACAGCTACACACACAAACACACATACACAGGCAAGTTCACCGACCGTCGCCCCGCCATTACCGGCTATCTCCCGGCATCGTCGGCCCTCGTCCACCATCAACGTCGTCGCCAGCAATCGCCGGCGCCCACCTGCAACCGCTCTCACAGCCGCACATCAACCGTGACCTCTACTCTCGTCGGCGCGCTTGCCTCCGCCCAGTACGCCCTCGCACCGCCACCAGCCGAATCGCCGTGGCCTTCATCCGCCGCCGCCACGCAGTCGCCGGCGTTTTCTTCCAACCATTTCGATTTTCCACATATGTTGGCGAAACACTTCCACCACTTCGGTCCCTGACTTCTCGTCCACCTCCTCCACAGTCGCCGGAGCCGACAGCCATAACAGTCGCGCGGAGCTGAGAGAAGCTGTCCAAAAGAAAACCAAAATCAAAAAAATCCATCGCCGGCGAGCTCGTGGCAGGGCCTGGGACGACAATCCGTTCAACAGCGGATGGGGCAAGCTGATCAACAGTGACGGGAGCTTGGGCTTGGGAATTAGAGATTTTGGGTCTTCTTTTTAAAATTTGATGAGTTCTATGGATTTATGTGCAATTTTAACAATTTTGATTTTATTATAATTTAGTCCATGGTCAAATCTATAATTTTTAAAACTATATAAAAATATTATTTTTCTATATATTATTTATACTTATATAACTAACATAATAAATAAATATATTATATAAGAGTAATATAAAATAATAAATAAAAATTGAAAAAATAAATACATTTTTTTTTTATAATACAAGTAATAAATTATTTATCTACTAAATTTAATCTTCAAAAA